AAAGTGTCACTAATGAGTTTCCCAGTATTACGATCATTTGGAGATACTTTGAATGTTATTGTGTTATCTAGTTGATTTTCGTAATAATATTTATGCTAATTTCAAAAAAAAAATTTTTTTTTTTTTTTCTTTAATTAGCAAGCTGATTTATGGTATGAATTTCCAGATTATTCTTTCTGGTATGGAGCCAAATTGGGTCTCTTCAATCCCACCTCTGATATCGAGCATGACACAACAATTGGGGGGGGGGGTGTCACTCTCGGTTGAGACTGCCAGTATTCTTATTCGTAGAGAGATGGAAACATATGGTGGCCCTTTGGGGGACTCTGAGGCTACAATTGAGGGTGATCCTTGACATTTTAGATATAGATTTGCTTTTTCCTGTGCCTTCTTTTAGTCATAAATACATGTGATACATTTATAGACTTTCAATGCTGGGGTCCGTGGTTTGATTCTCTAGGGTGAATGTGGCAGATGGTCCAAAGTTACTTTGCTCTAACAAAACAACTTTACCTCACAAAACACTGTTCCAGTCAACACAGTCTTTAAATGATCTATGAAAAACAAAAAGGAGGCCACTTTGGGATAAGCTGCTTTTGTTTGTTTTTCTTCTGTTGATTCTATGAGTGTATGATGTTTTGGTCCTTTTTGCGGTTGCTTTTGAGCCTGCACCTTACTTGATGGCTGAAAGATCTGGGAGGGTATTTTTTTTTCTCCATACACAGATACTGTGGTTAATCTGAATAGTTCAATGTCCCTTAATTGGACATCTTGTTTAGTTTCACTTCACTTTATTTAAAAACTCTCAGGATCACCAACTTCATTGATGATGAGATGGATCCATTGTTAGCATGCATGTTGGTTCAGCTTCTACATTCCTCCCTGTTGTTGTTGTTGTAGTCTCAAATTACATCAGCTTCCACGAGGGGTCATAGTTCCACCCCTATTTGTGAGTCCCAACCCCCAACATCAGCCCCTCATTAATTGGTACCTAGAATAGACTTTGTCTATATCCAAGGTTTCCACTGATCGGTCGGATCACCAGCAGCATCGGTGATTATTGTATACCTTCAGGAGCTGTGAGGCTCAGTTTCAAGAATTTGTTCAGTTCACATCTTCTCCAAGGTTCACAAGTTACTCATTCCTCAATGTGTGTTGATTTTTTACTGAGATTGTAGATGTCCAATTTGGTTGTAGTTGGCTCCTATCTGTACTTTGCCATAGTAGTGGTGTCCCACCACTATTGGTGTTTGTGGTGCACAAGGGTCAGGTGCTGCAGTTCCAAGTTTTCCCTTCGGGTTCACATGGGTTCTTCCATATCGTACAAGTTTTTTTCCCTCGTTCTATTGTACTATGCACACACCATTCCATGGATGACTGGTTACTGCTGTTACCATCTCATCAATTGTCAGACCATCACATCCTTATTCTAGTTTCAGAAACAACCAAACAGGCTTCCCTTTCGGGACTGAGACATCTATTCTTGCTCTAATATATCATCAGTCTGGATATTTTTTTATTTTTCATCTTCTCTCTTAGTCGGGCTCAGCTTACTCCCATCTGGCTCAACATTATAGAATAGGACATCACACTCTTACGTCTCCTGCTCCTACTGCAAGGATGGTTCTTTCTCTTCTGGGAATGTGGGCATCACTTGAATCACTTGTGCTTTGAGACAAGAACACATGCTATCCTTTTATTGGTCTTCATGTGACCAAGGATCATAAACAATGATTCACTGGTTTCCCCACTTTCCTTAGTTGGGATCATTCTTCCATCTTGAGGGGTTGTTAAGATGGGACACTGATATGATATGGGTTCCTCAACTGCTGCCTAATCCAGAGTTCCAGCTCTTTGTGAATACCTTGCTTCAGGGATGGGGTGCGTGTATCAACAATCAGGAATTCCAGGGTCTACACATGGACAAAAAGGATTCCCTACACAGTGTTTTCATCCTTCTTGCTTTTCAACAGGCAGTGCCTCACAGTCTGGACTTATTAAGGGGTAAATTGTCAGCTTCATTCTGACAGTTCTGTGGTGGTGTCTTGTGTTTCTCATCAAGGAGACACATGATATAGGGCTCCTTGTTTTCGAATTCTGGACATCCTTTCTCAGGACCAGTCCTATCTTATCACCCTTCTAGCTTGCCATGTTCCACGGGTGAGGCCACTGGTAGAAAATCAATTGTCTCAATCCAGACAGATTCTCCTGACGGAATAGATGTTGCATTGCAAGGTTCTGTTGGATTGACCTTTATTTTTCAACTCTAATTGGTGGGTTGGCCTCTCATTGGATCACCCAACTTCTGGCAATATGGTCTCCAGTAACTCATCTTTGGACTTTGGCAATAGATGCGTACTTTCTTGTGGTGATTCTAATGGCTTGGAATGCATCACTCTATGGCTTCAGGTTGGGATCCATTAATAAGTTTATATATTTATCTATCTGTTTATATAATGTTGCGGTCAAATTTCCCTAGCCACCGATGTGGGACATAGGAACCGAGACCCCTTAATTCCAACCCCGAGTAGTAGAACCATAGCTATCCGATTGGGGCTGGCCTATAGTGATGATCACTCATACAATTCTACCCACGATACAGGAATTCAGTTCTGGGTGAAGAGTATACCTGTTCTGGATATAGTACAGTCCCCTGCTAGGGTGCTAATCTTCTAATGACACACCCATGCTCTATGCAGATGCTTTCTGTATGGATAATGCCTTCACCAGCCACTCCACCTTATCAATGTGGAATTCTAGCTATGAGTGGGAGAGGAGGTATGTATGTTTTGGAAGTTAACATTTTCCTAAATTGAAAATGTATTTCCAATAATACTTACCTCTGCTGACACTCTCCCATTCTTTCTCCCCACTGAGAGCCGGTGTTAGAGACTCGGATTGAGTAAGTCTCAAAAAAGTGATACCATTATCTGAAAGAGGTGCTTGTATACAGTATCAGGATAGAGGGTGCATTAACATAGGTTGAGAGGTGGAGATAAATATTGCCAAGGGCAATTGAGTGGGGTAGAAAACACTGGAGCAAGCGAGAAACAATCAAACCAGATGGGCGAAGAAAGAAACCCTGGAGGTTGAGTAATAGCTATAAGTGTGAGAAAAGGTATGTATGTTTTGGAAATACATTTTCAACTTAGGAAAATGTTAACTTTTTATTTTATTTTTTACCACAGTTGATATGCAGAATGTAATTATTGAAGATTCTTTTATTGAATAGATTTTTTTGTTTTGCAGCTTGTATAATGTTAAAACTAGTTGATGGTTGCAATATCTTAAGTTTGATTTCTAAAAGAAATTTATTATTTTTGTTTCACTTGTGTTTTTGTTGATATCTTATACTTTATCTTTCAACATCCTTGATGTTAAAATCACATGGTTCTCACTAATTTTCATCATTATTGATGTTTTATTTGTTTTAGTTAGGTCACGGCTTTCATTTTCACCTTACAGCCTACTTTATAGAACAGTAACAAAATTCAATGAACTGTTATTCCAAAAAAATATTTTTTTGAATCACTAAGCATGGTAGTACTTAGTATGTAGGGATGGGTGTGGATAAAAGTGCTGCATATTATGTACTGTCCATCATAGCCTCAAATCTCTCTCATAACAATCTGAGAGAGTTTTATACACACCTAACTGAGGTTTTTAAAAGCTATAAAGACCTTCAGTTTAACCAAAAAACATTGCTAAGGTAGAGAACCAGCAAGTAGCTTAATAGCCAATTATTCTGGTTCTGGCGTCAGAAGGGCTAGTTCACCAATGCTTGAAATTGTTGTGATGACTTATGTGCACCATAATCTTGCATTTTAACTTGAGGAGTGCAGAAGCAGAAACTAAAACTGCTGCCTTCATGGTGACTGCCACTCATTATAAAACATTCATTGATATTGTTTAAAAAAGAGTGGGAAATAAGTAATTAAAAAAATGTTGATGTGGGGATGCCAAAAAATACAGAAACAAGGTAGGGATGAATACACAAAACATACAAAAATCTCTACATTAGTAACCACTGAGTCAACTTTACAAGCTTATGGGAATTAGTTATTGTAAGACCTTATTATTCAGTTTAAATGCTGTTATTCAAACCTGAATTCACGCAAAAAAGATAAAAGTTTTTCGTGGAAAGATTTGGCTAGTTATGTAGGGATTTTTGTATGGTTTTGTGTATTAATCCCTATCTTGTTTCTATACTTTTTGGCATTACCATCCCTAGATCATCCTTTTTTCTTTTTTTATTACTTGTAGTAACATATTTCTTAGTGTTACATATTTTTCTGATCTTTTACTTTTAACTGGTTTGTTTTTCTTTGTTTTATACAAGAGTTTGGTAATCTAAAACAAATGATGTGGGAAATTTGTATGCTATGCTCACGTCTGTTGAAGCTTTAAAACTATATTAATTAATAAATTTATCATGGCTGCAAAAATTGCAGTTGGGGTACCCTATTTTTTATTTAAATAATGAATGATCTTCTTTTGTTTTAGATTGTTTTATTCAAGTTTCTTTTTGGTCAGCTATAAATACTGTTTTAATGAGAACAATTTTAGAGTCCTTCTTCATGTAAAGCTGATTACATTCCACAGTAAGTCACATCTGGCTCCATTAATCTTTAAATTTACATATATATGACTGAAATGGCTAATGAACCCAGAGATTCAAAATCTGTGACAAAAAAGAATTTAGAAAGTTTTAATGTATTGTACTCATTTTCTTATTAAAGATAGTTTTCACAGCTATACACACATGCTGTATTGTGTATTAATATAATTTCAAATTATAATCTGTGTTCATAAAATACATGCATTAGATTTTTATTTATTATTATTGTTGCTTTCAAAATGGTATTTTAATGGTCTTGATTCTGGTTGTGCATCACACTGTTTTTCAGAATGAAGCTAATTCTTGATTTTTCAAATAAAAATTGATATTATTTTTTATATCAGTAACTCAGTATAAAGTACTATTTTATCTTTTGTGACAGCAAAAGTTTACTCACAGCTCTCAAACAGCTCTCGAGGAGGTAGTGAAAGTCTTCCAAACTCTGGAAATGAAATTACTTCTCAGCCCAACAGAATGAATACAGTAATTCCAGTATCAGCCATGAGTGGCACTACTCCTCAGACTTTGTCAGGGTCAAATCATCATTCTTCTTTTGAAAGTAAATCTGAAAGGTGTGATGACTTTTCTTTTTAATTTGTAGGGCAAACAACAACCAACTGAATTTGTTTATTTCTCTTTTATAATAAAGTTATTGTTGTATAATAAATAATAAGACTTATTATGAAATCTAGGATCTTAAATTTTCTGAAAGTTTCCATTAGAATCTAATGTATAATTAATAATTTAATTCCTCTAATACAACAGTTGTTTCATTAATGTAGATATATTTTTTAATTACTTAATAATCATTCCGTAGAAACTGTTTATAATGCCAGTTTCATATGCAAGTCAAAAAAATAATTTATATATACAGCATTAAAAAAACACAATTATACTGTAGCAGAGATGTTATATTTCTAGTAATCTGTAACTTATGATTTTAATTCAAATGTATGAATATTAGATACTAACTTGAGAAGTTTTTGAAAACACTTCCTGTCAAAATATGAAGTTTAAAATTCACTTAGATTTTTTGATATATTTTTTGTCCTATCTGACATGTAACAAAAACAAGGAATAATACAATTATTAGAAAAGTCAAAGATAAAAAAGTATTTTAGAAACATTTGAGCCTTTAATAAAACTTAATAAGTTTTTGTAAATCACTAGATATACCCTATTAGCCTTATAAGTTAAAGAATCATTCATTATTTAAATGAAATTTCTAATTATGCATTTTTTTCAGATGTCATTTTAGGTAGTTCAAAGTTTAGATGTATCCCAAGATTATTTCATGACAATAATGCAGTTGATAAGCATATTTTTGATGCTGTATTTTACTGACTGCTGTTTTGTTTTATTTTCGACCTACAAAATTCGAATTTTATAAAGAATGAGTACAGCTCAAGCCTTGAAATTACTTTTAGTTTTCTTGTACTGGTTACAAAAGTAGCTAGTAGAAATAATTTTTTTGTTTGTTTGTTTCAGGATTCTGTGGAATTAAATATTTCATTTGTAATTTACTAGCCTGATGAATGAGAAACCTATTAAGAAGAAGATTTGAATATAAGTTAATTGATAAACAATTTATTATTATACATATATTTTTTTTCTTATAGCAATACTAGTGGAGCAACACGGTTAGCTTCAGTTCCACAGCCTGGCTTTGCAGGAGGCACTCAGTATGCTGTCCCAGCAGCAGCCTACTACTATGAATCTTATCCTGTTCATAGTGGTGTTACAATGCAGCATTTTAGCAATTCTTCAGGAACATCAAGTTATACTGCCAATGTGGTTCCATCTTCGGGGCAAAGACCTGGAATATGTAGGTATCTGTTATGTATTTATGAAGGAAGGTTGTTCATATGATCATTGATTTATATTATGTGGTTCTTTTCATGTGACTGACCTGAAATGCATTTGTTGTGTGTGTGTATGTGTGGAAGGAAATAGACATTCATACATATATAAAATTAAAAGTCACTAATATGGAATCAAGGTCATAAGAGGAACTTTGATCTGGTTTCTCTCTTTGTTGGAGTTATTTTTGGTGTATATATCCAATTATGTGTGTATACATCTGTGTAGTTTTGTTTGAACAAAATCTTGGAATAAATGTTGATTGTTAGATATTATTATTATTACACAATCGAAGAAACATTTAAATTAAAGAAAATCAACTTAGTGTCTACATTACATTATTTTAAACTTTTTCAATAGTTTATTTTATTTTTACTTGGTGAGGTTGCTGAATTATGATTGGTTTCATATTAAGTGTTACAATGATATGGAATGAAGTTTTTCATAATTTTACATCCAAAAATGATGGAACTGTGAAAAGGACTGTTTTACAATCAGGAATTTCTGCTTTTCTTAAAGAAATATGTGTCACTTAATGAAATATGTGAATATTTATAATTTATCTTTTAACCTACATGTTATCTTTGACCAACATGAGTACATTTTGTACCAACACATATTTTTATTATTTTGGAATTTTATGAATGACAAGTAAATTATAATTCTTGTAAGAAATAATAAAACTTTCTTGACATTTTAAGCTCATATGTGGTCCATATGAACCCCAGCCAAATAATGATGATGGCTCCTGATCTATTAAGTTTGCACAGTTTTTTTCTCTTTTTTTTAACTCTGGTGGTTTTACCAGGAAAAGAATGAAAAATTAAATATTTCTTCTGAATTACTTGATTTATTATGGGTTCCATATGGAATGCAAATTACTACTTAAGGGTTAAGAATGAATTTGTGCACATATGCCATGAAACCATGTTAACTGCCTCACTATGCGCTTGATCGATTTGATTTAGTTTGTGACCCAAAATTGACCTTTAGAGTTTCCATACTAAACTTTTAATATGTTTTGTATATCTTCATGAAATTTTGCAAGCTTTCAGTAAGCATTAAAAGCACCCACCTGTCATATCCTCCCTTTCAGAATTCGTTGATAGTTCTCTCTTATGTTTCATTATATATTTCCTATAACCAATAGAAAGTCAAGGTTTCATCTATCAAATGATGTGTTGTTCAACATTGTGTTCTGAATATCGTCAATTTCACTCACAGTACAAGATTCATTCCCATGGGAAAATTAACGACTAGCTTGGATGAATTTGTAACGGCTCTTGTTGCATAGTTAGAAATCCAGAAAAATTTTGAGAGGTAAGAGAATTTGTCTACTTTTTACATGTTATTAACGTATATTCTTTGGTGCATTATTTAATTAAATAAAAATTATTAAGTGCATTGCAATCAGTACTACAAAAAATTAGGTTTAACTGTCCTCGACAATTGAGAGCAAGAAAAAAGAAGATTGGGTAACTACTTTATTTCTTGTTTTTCATATTTATTCTCTATTTATTATTATAAAAGTAACTAAAATCTAAAAATATGGATCATTTTAAGTTATTTAAAACTAGATTAGTAAAGTAAGTAATAATAACAATAACATAATTAAAAGGGTTCATGATACGCACACGGGTAAAGTAATTTGGTAGCGTAACATGACCTGCACATTATCCGAGTGATTTAAAACTTATAATGGCACAGTTAGTAGTTACACATGGTTCAAAGGGCAATAAAACAATAAAATTTAATTATAAATAGATGTATACTGTTACAAACTTAGAGCTACTTAGGACAAACGAATATAGTTTCATGTAACAGTTTGAAGTCATTCTAGAGAGAAAAAAAGGGTAATTTAAGCTTATTTTGATTTTTTTTTTGATGGTTACGAGGTCAGTCGAATTGACTGATCCCGTTTTGGGATAGGGTAGAGAAAATATTAGATAAACGATAAAGGTTCACTGAAAAAAGTTTGAAATGCATTTAGAAGATTTTAGGGATTACACAAATTTGAGATTTTTGAGATGATGAAAATTTTTTTAATTTTAACATGAAAACTACTTTGTACATGGACTATTCAAAACAATATAGTAATAGTCATGGACAAATATTTATTTTATTTTATTAAATGTACTTCACTAAAAAATATGATTCTTTGTATGTGAAAAACTTATAATGTTAACTGAAAGACTGCCAAATTTTGTGAAGATATACACACTATATTGTGAGTTATAAGTATTAAATCCATAAAGACTAACTGTTTAACCCGGGCTCGGTATAGTTTTCATGCTATAACTTTTAAATTAGTAAACGAGTGTTAATGAAATTTGGCAGATTATCAGTAAACATCACAATGTTTTCATACACAAAATATAAAATTTCTTTATTAAGTCTTAAGGTTTGTAAAGCAATGTTTTTCTCATGTCTTTTTTTTCTTTTCATATGTTGCCTATCTATCATGTAAAGTAATATTCATTTTAAGATTAAAAATACTTTTATGCGTCAGAAAATTTTGAAATTTCACATGCAAAATCTTTATAATGTCCAGATAGCTTGGCAGATTATCAGTAAACATCACAATGTTTTCATACACAAAATATAAAATTTCTTTATTAAGTCTTAAGGTTTGTAAAGCAATGTTTTTCTCATGTCTTTTTTTTTTCTTTCATATGTTGCCTATCTATCATGTAAAGTAATATTCATTTTAAGATTAAAAATACTTTTATGCGTCAGAAAATTTTGAAATTTCACATGCAAAATCTTTATAATGTCCAGATAGTTACCAAACATCTCTTTAAAAAACTATATTTTATCTGTTATTTTCAATAATTAATCTCTGTACAGGTTCGGTAAATTTGACCGATCTTGCAACCACCAT